TAGACATTTTCCTTGTTTCTATGGAGATTTTGGTTTAGAAACAGAGGCAGATTTTAAACAAATAATACTCATGTTAAGTACAGATGCTCCAGAACTTACAATGGGGTTATATTCCTTTAAACCCATTATAAATTGGAAAATTCATAAGTCCAAAATACATTGAATCCACTTATGCTACCAAGCACCAAAGCTTAGCAACACACAGTGCCTTCCAGTGTTCATTGTTTCCCCATTGTGATCATTAGCTGGATGCTGTGGCTCTGGGTGAGCACCGTGAAAGATTATCATACCACATACTTCTACGCCAGAAAATAGAGTCTAGAAAGGAACTCCTACTGAAATGTATCACTTTTACACCATCATACAATTCAAAAATTCCTATGTTAAACATTGTAGGTCAGGGTCTGCCCCCATATAATCAAGATATATTATTATAACCTTGAAGCAAAATGTGCTTTGAGGATTAACACAGAATAATAGTTTAGGAACCATAAGTGCCTTTCTTCTTAGATGAATGGATCCTAATCCCCATTTTTTAAACCATGAAAATAAAAATATTAAGGAAAAGATATTTGAAAACCAGAAGATTCATCTATAAATTCATTTTGGCATACTTACATTTTATAGTGGTTTCTCTATTTCAATCATTTTAAAGAAAATATTACTGTAGAATTATAATTGATCTTATTTTAGAAATTATTTAATACTGACATACTTGCAATATACCAAACATAGGATGTTATAGTTTGAAACAAATGTATATTCATATGTAATTCATATATCTTCATACTCTACAAAATCACAACTCTTAATGAATTCATTCAGTGCATTTTCCTCGAGTCCCTGGCCGGTGAAAGGCTGTAGCTCTGGGGGAAATGACCAGTGAAATGTGGGTTTGCTCACATAGAGTCCATATTCAGATAAGTGCACAAAACTCCAATAGCTTTGGGGTCATAAAGACTTTTTTATTTATCTCTAAGTTGGTTTTGATCATATTTCAGTGCTCAGAGCTTTCCTCTTTTATCCCCCACCTTGCTTCAGGAGAAATTCTTAAGAGTCAGCCTATTGCATCAAAAGGTATAAACAAATTTATACTTGTTAATTAATAGTAAAATTACAATGCATCAAAGCCTACCATCAACGCTTAGAGTTGGGTTGGTTTCAACTGATATTGTACTTTATTCACACAATCGCATTGTTAATTAAGTTAAATTAAGGGGCTGGGGGTTCAGCTCGGTGGAGCCGTGACTGCCTCTCAAGGGCAATGTCATGAGTTCAATCCCCAGTACCACCACCAAAAAAAAAAAAAAAAAAACCTAATTGAGCTTAATTAATATCTTCTATTAGTACTTTTTGTTTATCATTTGTTTATCCTTCTGGATTCCAGGTTTCTTTGTATATTTTTGTCACTAGCATCTCACTATTGAGCCCAAAACATAGCAGGTACACTATAAATTGTTCATTGAATGAATAAGCAAATCCTCTAACGCGGTGGTTCTCAGACTCAGCCATACATTAAAATTATCTAAAGAGGGTTTGAAAATCAGTCCTTTGTTATTGGGTAGAACTAATATTATCAAAATGGCCACATTACCAAAAATGACATATAGATTTGTGCACTTTTCATCAAAACACTAATAACATTTTTTAAATGTATGAGGAAAAATAATTACAAAATTTATGTGAAACCAAAGGAGACCCGAAATAGTCAAGGCAATCCTGGGCAACAAGGACTAAACAGGAGACATCATAATCTCAGAATTCAAGTTATACTACAAAGCTACAGGAATAAAAACAGCATGGTGCTACATAAATTTTTTTATTGTTTGTTGGTACATTTTAGGTACACAATAGAGTTACATTCATCATTGGGATTTTGTACCTTTATATGACTTATCTTGGTTCTTATTTTTCCCGTTTACAGCCCTCCCTTCACCCTCTCCACCCTTCCCTGTTTACAATGACATTCTTTCCATATTTCCCCTTTTCACATATTTTTTCTTTCCCATTTACCTTTCCCCTACCCCTCCCATTGCTTAGAGACCCCCAAACCAAAACCCACTTATTTATCACAAAATGCCAACAATGTGTTGATATCTGGTGCTTGAGCTGCTGGGGCAATGCTCCAGTGACATGGCTTCCATTTCAGCAGAGAGGGCTCTGCCTGTGACACACATACCATGGGTTTGCTATGCTGGAAAAAAGGAGGCAGGAACAATTCCAAGCATCTTCAGCCATCTGATTTTCAACAAACAGGACAATAGTATATGCTGGGGAAAAACTCACCTCTTTAAAAAATGATGCTGGGAAAGCTGGTTATATACATGCAGAAGAATGAATCTTGATCCACATCTCTCGGTCTTCAAGTAAAATCAAATCAAAATAGATCAAAACCTATATATCAAAACAAAAACACTGAATTTAATGGACCAAAAAAAATGGTGAAACTCTTGAAGATGCAGGCACAGGCAAAGACTTATTGAACGGAACCCAACTTGCACAAAAATAAAACCAAGAATCAACAAATAAGATTATATCAAATTTAAAAGCTTCTATACAGCAAAGGAAATGACCAACCACATAAAGAAACAATGTAAAAAATGGGAAAATATTTTACCAGCTACTCTTCAGTCAGTCGACTGCTATCTAGAATATATAAAGAACTCAAACAAATCAGACCAACCAAAATAAAAGATCCAGTTAAAAAATGAGCAATTGAGGTGACCAGACAGTTTGTAGAAGAAACATAAATATCCAATAAATACATGAGAAAACATTCAATAATTCCAGCCAGTAGAGATTTGGCCAAATCAAAACAATACTGAGGTTCTACCCTGCTCAAGTAAGAGTGACCACTTTCAAACACTCAAAGAGCAAGTGATGTCAAGGTTGTAGAAAAGAAACCTGGCTGCATTGTTGGTAGGAATATGGATTGGTATAGCTACTTTGAAAATCAGTCCAAATGGACCTCAACTAACTAAAAGTAGAAATTCCAGTTATTCCTCCCTTAATATCTTCCAGAAAGAGTTAAAGACATATTACAGAGCTACACAAATACTCATGTTTATAGCAGCACAATTCACCATAGCTGAACAATAGAAGTGACTTGTATGATCAACAGTAGAATGCCTAAAGAAAATGGTACAGTAGCATACAGCTCAGTCATAAAGACACTTAAGTCTGAGTCATTTGTAGGAAAATTTATGAGCCTTTGGACTTTTAGATGCAAAATAAATTCATCACAAAAAGCTAAATATTGTGTAGTTTCTATAGTATGAGATAACGAAAGTATAAATAATTTAAAGAGCAAAGTAACAGAGCCATGTAAAGAAACAGGGAGGTAGGCTCTACGGAGAAGAGGAGGGGAACTAGGGAAGGAGGAGCAGAGAGGAGCGACAGGTATGGGGAGAGTAAAACTGTTCAAGATGCATCAAACTCCAAAGCTGAGAGTAATCACTATGTGCTGCAAACATATACCAATTTTTAAAGAAAGAAATGCAAAATCTCAAGCATCACCAAGACCTAATGCTCCTGAATCTACATATTAATAAATTGTCCCATGAAACAAAAGTTTGAGAAGCACTGTCTTAAATGACATCAGGACAATTTTAAACCAACACATCCGCTACCCCTTGAGACTGATGGCACTGCTTGATTCTAAATCCTTATTGTTTGTATGCAAGAGATCTGTTTGCATTACAAGTGGTAAAGAAAACTACAAACTGGCAAATACCCAAACAAAGCTTGTCTTTCCCAACCTCCTACATGGCCCTCAATCTCTACCTCTTCGGAGAGAAGGAATGGAAAGAGTGGTATCTAAGCCAGAAGTGCTGAAGTAGAAATTTCCCATATAAAACAAGTGTGTGATTTGACTACCAAGAGTTAGAGATGAAAATCCCAACGCATAGCCAAAGTCCAAAAATGAAGGGATTTACAGGCAAGCATCTGAGCTTCTAAGAAGCCAGAAACATAGATGTAAGAATAAGAGAAAGTACTTTGGTACCAAACGCATCATGGTGAGGAAATCAGTCAGGAACAGGGACAGGACAGGCCGTTTCCTGCTTAGAAGAAGGTGAAGTCCTGCACAATACCTTGTAGTCTGGCAGACCTGGACTTGAATAACAACACAGCTCTTATAGAGACAGGGAATGTGATTCAACCTTTTTGATCTTCATCTGTAAACCTGGGAATAGTAATTCCTAGATCAGAGGTACTGTGAAGATTAAAGGTAGTGATACTTAATATCATAAGATCCCGATAAATGGAAGCCGTTACTCATTAGGATCCTAAATCACTTACAAACATATAAAAATGAGACAAACTCAAAAGATAAAGGATGTGTTTGCTATATTTAATGCCCTCTTTTTCTGTTCTTGTTCGAAGCTACCTAAGGAGAATTTATTATTCTTGGGGTGAGGGTGGCAAATCCTATCAAGAGAATGAGCTGACTATATTTCCTAAGGTAGGCACTGCGAGGTGTCCCATAACACCATGTTCTGCTAGCACACGGATGCAGTTCCACTGGGAAGAGGGGATCTGTACACCCCCATCCAAGACTAGGAAGGCTGGAGTCTGTGATACAAGGGATGCTCAGGGACATCCAGATTGAGGTCGCTAAAGATGAAATAATGTGGGACGCCTGCCCTTTGCCATATACAAAGAAGAGGAGAAATTGTGTGAAGAGTCCATGGGGAAGTGTCTGGTTGACTTCTCAGCTGAGGCTCAAGCTGGCAGCCAGCATCAGCTGCCAGCTTGTAAGCGATCAGATGTTTCATGATTGTAGCTCATAATCTCAAGAAACCTCCACCCTTTGAGTCCCCCAGTCCGAACCAGGTCTTCCCCCCAATGCCCTGTGCCATTTCTGAATCCTTGGAAACCAGCATGTGTGAGCTCAACAAAAGACTATTTTCTCACACTATGAGGTTTAAGGGGATTTGTTACATAGCAGTAGACACCTGGGACACTGATTTCACAATGTCGTCGCACAGTGCTACCCAGCAAGGACCTCCTGCCTAATGCGTAGGGAAGCCAATGCTGTGGTACAGTTTTAGCAAAAAAGAAAGAGATGTCTGGTGAGTTTGATCAACAAGGAGGCCGAGAGCTGGGAAAAGGACAGCTCAACTCTGCCCCCTTGGTTGACTGGTAGATGAGGAAGTTATAGGAAAAAGACGAGTGCTGACTGGATAAAGAGAAGGGAAAGTTTGGGGGTTCCCTTGTGCAAGTCCACACGGTCACAGTGACTATGGTAGCTCTTCACGGGATACGTGCTCGTGTTCTTCAGGAGCTAAGTTCTGAGTGAGGGACTTCAGAGCTTGTGATTTCCAAAGATCTTTGACTGGAGGAGGCAGCTCCCATGCATGTCTATTCCTGAAAAGCCAGTTAGTTGCACCTTGAGTGAATTCTGAAGGCTTTTCCTGAAAAAACAACTCAAGTGATTTGTTATTTAAGGAATTTATGTCTGAGTGTGCCTGAGGGTGTTATCTGACTTCAATGGGACACGAGACCCCTACTGTTCCAGCCTTAGCAGCTTTCTCTGCTACACAGCAATGATTTATGAGAGGGTTCACTCAGAATTACATGTGGCTGCGTACAGCAGAAACTCAGCAAAAACAAAAAACAAAAATAAACATACTTATTTTTTCTTTAACATGTCCAAAATTAGGCAGTTCTAAGGATGGCATAGTGCCTTTATAACACCAGCAGACGCAGGCATCTTTTACTAGTCTAGTAAGCAGTGCTGAGTGTGTCTCTTTCATTCTTCCATCAGCAAAATATCTGATCTGCCACGAGAGTTGATGTACACCCTCCGTGAAGGCACAAAGAAAGAGGAAGGTACCGAAGTCCTATTCCATCTGGAGCTTTATATCTGGAAATAACTTTCTTAGGTACACCATACACAGGTTTTAGTTTTTTGGGTTTTTTTTGTTGTTGTTGTTTGTTTGATTTTTTGGTACTAGGGATCAAACGTGGGTCCTTGATCTTGCAAGGCAGGCAGTGGAACCACTGAGCTAAATCTCCGGCACTTCATATTTTTTAATTAAAAGCGTACATAACCTTTCTCAGATACAATGGAGCTTGAGAAATTAGTTTTGTCAAGTGAATTCATTGCAACCCTTAACAACATTAGGGAATCTTGCAAAGGATGCATAAGGAGACCACAAGGAACAAATACCATAACTTTGAAATGGGATGATTAACAAAATGGTCCCTCAATTAATGTGCAAATGAGAGAAGGGTCATGATGCTCATTGGGCTTTTTGTGTGCAGAAAGACCCAAGATTTGAAATTTAAGGCCAAAGAGTTATAGACTCATACCAGGCCTTCAGTCCAGTTCTGCAGGTGACCTTGGACTGGGCCCATTCTCCAGCTCTCCCCACCTTTCTCGACAGAAGTGTCAAAGAGGAACAGTGGATGCCCTGTGAATGCAGATTCTGAGGTACTGGCCCGAACAGCTCAGGCTCTATTCTTGTTCCAGGTAGAACCGGATTAGCCTTCAGTGCTTTAGCCCAGTGTTTCCTGAGGCCCAAGGCTACATAACCCAAGTGAGCTGCTGATGGGGTTGTTCAGTTGTGGAGCAACTGGGGCACAGGCCAATGAAACTCCATCCAGCCTGGGTAGCTTTCCCAACAGAAGCCTTCTGTTGTCCTGTGCTGTCTACCTAAGGGTACCTATATAATAAGTTTGTTGTCATGAAATGAGAGGACTCGTTTGAGATAGACATGACAACTTTTGAAGCAGATATTAAATCCAGATCCCCTTCCGTTTGAAACTGCCTATGTTTTGGTGGTGCTGAATTTTAAACCTTAGACACTGAAGCTCACACGTAATATGCACTAGGCTTCAGACAGCCTCACTGAAGACAAAATAAGATCTTGCACCAAGTTGTAGCAACACCTACCTTCCCCTCCACATTTCTTAAAACAAAGGGAACTTTACCTATTACCAGGTCAAGCCAAGGTTCATCTCATCAACAGGCTATTGGACTGAGTCGTGTCCCCATTCAAGATGAGACTGCAAAACTGAGTCACCAATGGTAAACAGATCTTAACTCTTGGGAGCCTATGAGTTGATAGCTACAAAAGCCATTTAAACTGAATGAGCAAAGGAAGAGACTTCTTCAGGACAGCACCCTTTTTGTTAAAAACAGAAAATACAAAAGCGAGGAAAAAAATCTGTGGCTCAACATGTTGACTTTTGGTAGGGTGAGAATGAAATATATATAGATGGTCAGAAATCCTGTGAAGCTTCCAAATTCTGAAAAGCTTTTCTTTCTCAACTCATACCTTGAAGAGAAGGATTGAAAAGTTTAAAGAGTACACAGCCCCTTCACGGTTTCTCATCCAGCTTTGACTGAAATATCTCCAATCAGGGATTGCATTTATTACTTACTACTCCTCTGGAGGATTTAACTTTGCAAATGCTTACAAATCTTGAGTTCTTCTCGGTTTGCCCTCTGCCTTAAAGCAGGAGACCAGGCTTAACACTGTGGTTAGTATTCAGGGACGTAATGGATGGCGCTGAGATGTACACAGGTAAGGGGAGCACCCTCTATTTTGTAAAATAATTATCTAACCCAATAATTATCTCCGTGACTCTTTTTGATTGATTGAGAAAGGGCAAACAGAAGCTAAGAATTGTCTTTCAGATCTAGTTCAAGAAGCAGAGACCCCAAACAAGGTCCCCTTTTAAGTGGAAATGCCAAGAAACTGACTCTGTGTCATGTGAGGAGGGGACTTTGCATTTTCAGCTTCAGTTCACTGGCAAACAATCGTAACCCAGCATTGGCCAAGGGAGAGCCCTCTTAATTTCAAATGATGCTCCGAAGACCTCGTATAGATTAAAATCTCAAAAAAGAACTTTTCTCCTTAACTTGCCTCTCTTTACTGTATTGTAGATACAGCGTGAAGAGCATAAGGGGTGAACAGAGGCTTTCTCTGCTATTTCGTAATTAACTATATATTTTGATGCCTTCATAGTTAGCCTGCCAGTCAAAACTCAGTGGTAAATAGTGTTTCACGGGACAGACTGAACATGCTCCAACTGCTTTCTCTTTGTCATTCTGACTTAGAGCTTCTTGCTTTCCTTCATTTTGATTTCGACAGTAAACAAGAGCTAGAATTTATGAGGTGGGAAGAAACACTCATACAACTATGGAAATAATACCTCATCCTTGGACAAGTTCATAACTATGGCAAGAATATGTTTTTCAAACCTTCGGCAATAGCTGAGATTACAACAGAACTTGCCATTTCCTCATTGCTCCCTAGGTAGTAGGGCTTTCCTACTTTTCACCTATTGCGCAGTAGGTAAAATTTGAACACGTCCCTGAATAGGCAAATACAGACTATTTATGAGGTGCAGTCAAAAAGTACAATGTTCTAATTAAAATGTAATACACTAAAAGACATTGCCATTAACCTCCTTCAAAATACTCCCCATTTGTTTCAAACACACTTCTTCCAACTTTCTTGCAACTTTCTTGAAGCAGTTCTGGAAGTCATCTTTATGTGGCTCTCTTGATGTCCTGAAACAATTCAAAATACTTATAGGAATTTCTGTGGAACAGAAACATTCCTGTGTGTCCTCATCCACCTTATTCACCACATCTGGCACTGTATGACTTCTACCTCTTCCCCAAAGTCAAAATGATTGTGAAATGTAAGTGTTTTGAATCTATTCAGGACACTTAGGCATCTACAATGGTACAACTCAAACACTCACAAAAGAGGACTTCTGGAACTGCTTCCAAAAGTAGCAAGGACAATATGTAAGTGTGTCTGAAATAGAGGGAAGTGTTTTGAGGAGGATTAATGGTGCTGTGTCTTTTATTGCAATACATTTTTGAAAATTTAAACATTCACTGTATTTTTGATCACACTGTGTATACGCATGGAGACAAAGTCCCTTTCTCGTTCCTGAAAGAAGACTGAAGGGTCTTGTGTCCAAGGCAGGAGGGGACATAGGGTATAAAGTACAGAAAAGTGCGATTTACCCATTTGATGAACTCAGGTGACTGTTGGAGTCTGGAATGCTTTCTCTATATTAGAAATTGGAGAGTAGGAAGAAAAAAATGTTCAAATGGGAAGGGGAAGAAGGAGGGAAGGAATAGGGATAAAAATTTTTTAAAGTATGGAAGAAAAACAGTAGAAACAAAGTTTTGTAAAGGGAGGGGGGAAGAAGGATTGAAGGGAAGGGAGGGGAATGGGAAAAATTAGATATAATATGTACAGGTACAAATTCCCTATGACGAGTGTAATCATTATGTCTGTCAGAAGTGTGCCGGTAAAATTAATCTGAAATTAAGAAAAGCAGGAATCTTGCACTGGAATTGGCAAAGAAGAGCACAGGTAAAATATACATCCATCTTCTGAGTGGGAAGCAATCATGGTCTCCTCTAGGCACCCTGGATTCAGAGCACACAGAGAGGAGATGATTCAGGCAAAGGTCGAGGAGACAGGAACCCTGGCTCTGGACTGTGGATGTGTTCAAGGAGACATCGCGGCAGTGACTGAAGTCAAGTTGGGAAGCTCTGTGCTGCTCACTCTTGAATCACTGTTTTTTGAAGCCTCCCAGGCCCATTGCAGCTACTAACTCGAACCAAGAGAGCCTTTCTCATAATCTCCAGTTGGAATTATCCTGCTTTCCTTCACAACTCCATGCTTCTGTTATTCTTTCTGTCCTTGGGCTTTACTATTTTCGTCCTTGTATCTTTTGTTGTGGGGATTACTGTACATCGTATCATAGACCATATCCACTGAGCAACAACCCTGTGCCCGATTTTACACCAGGAACTAAGCATGGAACGGTGAACAAGACTGACAGAGTCTGTGCTTTGAAGAAACTTACAGCCCCCTGGGGGAATTGAATCAACAAGTAAGCAAACAGATACATTACCCCCTCATTCCAGATAGTGTAACGTGCAGTGTTCCAACAGATCTTCCGGTACCAATCATTACTTATAAAATAGTAACTAGCACCATTTACCCACTTTGACATTTCCTGAGAAACACGATTACCAAACCCGTTTTAAATAGTGAGCATTGTATAAGAACAGTGGTCGTGTGCTGAGGATCTAGCAGGGGCCTTAAACTCAGCCCCACTGAAGTGATCACCATTAATAGGATGTCCCGTGTTTCCCTGTGTGTTTCTTATTTCTTGGCTTGCATTCAGCTGCATGCAGCTCTCATAATGAAAGAGGGGGCTCCAAACGCAGGTTGAGTGAAACCTCTCCATCAGAATAGCAGTTGGTGTGTTATTTGAAGGGTTTAACACTTGCCCCCAATATCTTGTGATGCTCTCAGCTGTAATTCATATCCCCTATGCCTAGTTGTCCACCTCCATTTCACTGAGCTCATTATTCGAATTCAGTACTTTCTCTTCATTATTCCAACAGTGTTTTCCTCCCCTTCTCATTTCCAAATGTTTTTCTTTCTCTCTTTTTTTTTTTTCAGTTTTCTCCGTCCATTTTCATGTATGAATTTCATTTCCACCTCTGAGTCAATTTGAACCGTACTTCACCATTTCATTAGCATCTCGAGTCTGGTCTTCTTATTTTATTTTTTTAGGTTTCCTTATACGATGCAGACATTTTAAACTTTTAAAACACTACGGTAATAAGTGCTTGCAATGCATAAAATTCTTCAATTAAGATAATTAACTCCTGTGAATGCATATAATATACAAAGGCATTGCATTAGATACAAAGTAGATGACATTCTAATGCCATTGGAAGTTTAACTTTAAAATACTAAGTAAATAAATGCTCTTAACCGCATGCATATCATTTCTGTAAATGGTCACTATCTTTTTGCCTGCCTCTGAGTTAATATCCACACTTTGATATTGCCATAAGTGGCTTTTCCTGATTAATAGAATCTCCCATTTG